AAGAAAAAGGAAAGGAAAGAGGAAAAGAAAGGAAAGGAAAGAGGAAAGGAAATAAAAGGAAAGAGGAAAAGAAATAGGAAAGAAGGGGAAGGGAAGGGAAGGGAATCCAAAGGTGCTTTTTCATGAGGCAACTGGACTTTCTGGAAAAAAAGTCCAGAAAGTCCAGTTGCCTCTTGAAAAAGCACCCTTGGTACAACCATGATCTGGATGACCGAGAATCTCTATAGGCACAAAAGGAAAGAATAATACCTTAGTGATGTTGATCAGCCTCTACAAACACCCCTTCATACACAGAACCATAATTACAACGTGATACAACATTAATATTAAAAGAGAAAAGGATGGGGCGGAAAACCTGAGAAATGTGTGTTAATTTAAAAAGCTAGCTCCAATTTCTGCAAAGTTTTCTTTCTTGCCCTTTTATTGAAAAAAAAAGAAAGAGATCAAGCATGTTGACATGTACGAACTATCTTTTGCTGCCAATTAAGCGCCAACTTCTCCTTTGGGATTCTTGGGGCAGTCCACATTTATGAAATGTCTCGATAGTTTCCCAACAGTGGAGATATAGCTGAGAAGAATATATCCATCATGACTTGTATCAAGTGATTTAAAGGCACAGTATCAGTCCTCTGGATTTCAGCCTCAAAATGTGTCAATACCAGACAAGCCCAGATTAGGTGAATTAACATTACTATCTCTGAACTGCAGCCCCAGCCAAAAGGCATTGATTAATATAAGTCACTATTAACATGCCTTATATACAGCAAACCAGCCCTACAGTTGAGTTAAGGGCACTTTGAGATCAACGGAGGCCCATTTCACTATAATTTCCAAGAATGGGATGTTCAAATGTTATTCCAGAGGTATATAAGTGATTAATATAAAATTAACCAAATTCCTTCCATATCTTACAAGAATGGTCTACTGGGTTTGAAGGCTCAATTGTCAAATAACTCAGACTTTTAATGAGTGAAAGAGACCCCATCCATCCTGATCAGTCTCAATCAAGCCAATGAAGAATGAAGATTCTACATTAAACCTAATGGATGTTCCTCTAGCATTTTCGTCCAGCGTTGTCAGTGAATAATTTTATTTTTTATTCCCCAGGTTAGGGGGTGACAGGCCCACCTGGATTCTCAGTTTAAGAGGGGCACTCCTCCTCCTTTACCACTGAGTTACACTAGCTCCCATATTCATCTATCTATCTACAGTCTCTCTGAGGTATAGAATTTCTCCCATAATAAAGTGGCTAGGTAGCCAGTTCCAAAGCCATGGTGGTCAGGCTGGTATCTGTGAAGGATAATTGCTTGCCTAATGTATGCGCTTCTACTTAATATGGTGTGTTTGTGGTACAATTGTGCAGTTAGGCAATGATTGTTTAACAGTTTTTTCTTTAGAGGGTCACTGGCAGTATTAAATGGTAAAACACAAATTTAATCTCCTTCATCTATCTATCTATCTATCTATCTATCTATCTATCTATCTATCTATCTATCTATCTATCTATCTATCATCTATCTATCATCTGTCTGTCTGTCTATCTATCTAGTCTATCTAGTCTATCTATCTAGTCTATCTATCATCTAGCCCTTCATGCCTGAGTTCAGGCTACTTGAAGGACCATCTCACCCAGGGGTGAAATTCAAATTTTTTCCCTACTGGCCCTGTGGTCGTGGCTTAGTATATTGGCATAATAGTAATAGCAACCAGGGGCAATTTTTTTACCGATTCAAGTTGTCCCTACCGCCTCTCCTGAGGTGGGCCAAGGTGGTTGAATTTCACCCCTGATCTCACCCAACTGGGATTGATTCCTTCCACTTCTGCTGGCCAAGGAGGCATGCGGTAGGTCCCATCAGCCCAATTATTCTGGCTGGTGGGGTGCAGGAGAAGGGCCTTCTCCGCTGTTGCTCCTGCCCTCTGGAACATGTTGCCCCCAGTTTGAAGTGGGCTCCAACCCTCCTATCCTTTCGTAAGGGCGTCAAGACCTGACTCTGCCAGTTGGCTTGGGGCCCCAACAGAGTAACAGTGCAGTAAAAGTAGTTGGCTAACAACAGATCCCACTTTCCTCCATTCCCCTCCCCCATCCTCCCCATGCATCATCAGAATTTAATGTTTAGTTTTAATTTAATTTACTTATATTTTACTGTACTGGATAAATAGATTTCTATGATTGCAAGCAGCCCAGACTTACCCTGTGGTAAGTTAGGTGGCCAATAAATTTTATAAATCTCTCTCTCTCTCCAACATCTATCTATCTGTCTATCTGTCCGTCTATCTATCTATCTACCTATCTATCATTGGTCTACCTATCTCAACATTAAGTAAAGCAAGATAAACGAAGACACACCCCTTTACTACGTGGGAATAGACACATAAAGGAGCTGATTGTGACAATGCACCCACCTTCTTGCAGATTTTGACACACACCCAAATGTCACCGAGTGCACGCACCGAACTTGATCCCTAGAAAAAGAAGGATCCCACAACTGCGCAGTGAGGTCATAGAACAGCATTCAAGCTGAGGAGATGACTTCAGATAAGCTTGTTCCAAATGGTAATCTTAATCAGATTTAAAACTGATAAGCATGCACGTATGGTAAGCTGATCTACCTTTCTAAATCAACATTTGTAATCCATGCAGGGAAAATTTCAGAGGATTCCCCTCCCACAGATAATTATATAACAGTACACTCAGAAAACAAAAAACTTTTCATGAAGTAATATGAAGGGAAATGTCTATGGAGATTCTCAGTCATCCAGGTCATGGTTGTCCCAAAGGTGCTTGAAAAAACACCTTTGGGACAACACAAAGGGAGGTGAATGACAGTAAATCAGAGGTGGTATTCAGCAGGTTCTAACTGGTTCTGAAGAACCGGTAGCAGAAATTTTGAGTAGTTCGGAATAGCGCCTCTGACTGGCCCCTCCCCCATCTATTGTCTGAGTCCCAGCTGATTGGCTGTGTCTTCTTTTGTTGCCTTGCACAGGAGAACAGAGCTGGAAGGCAGGTTAGTGAGGTGGGGAGAGAATGGGGATTTTACAGTATTCTTCCCCTGGAGTGGAGTGGGGATGGAGATTTTAAAGTATTCTTCCCCTGCCACACTCACCAAGCCATACCACGCCCACAGAACCGGTAGTAAAAAGATTTGAATCCCACCACTGTAGTGAATGGTATTTTAACAGGAAGACCTCTTAAAATATGATTGACTATCAGAATCTAAAGAATTTTCACTGTTTCTTTCAAAGGAATGGTAGCCCACATGACTGATTGCAGTATTTTTACTGTGATAGATAAAGTAAGAAATAAATTCAAATTTACTAAATGATAAACTGTATATCAGTATATTACAAAAAAAAAAAAAAGATAAGGATTCCTTAATAGGTCAAAATGGTTTCTAACGCTATCAAAAGTAATTCATTCTAATTGATAGAAGGTGTCTCATAGCACCTTTTATTATTTTATTAAAAGTCATAAATTATTAACATTTTACAAAAAGGCATAAATGATCTGCTGCTCATGAAAAATTATGCCTTTTAGCAAAATATGTCAGACCTTTCTCACTTTTTGTCATTATTTTTATAGCTCCCCTTTACAATGTCTAATCAGGGGTGGGATTCTACCAGTTCGCACCTATTAGCTAGAACCGGTTGTTAACATTCTAAGCAGTTTGGAGAACTGGTTGTTAGAAGAAATTACTGGCCTAATCCTGTAAGGAAGGCAGGAAGGAAACATTCTGGTGTTGCTTACAGAAACTGCCTCTCCATTAACCCTTATTACATTCTTGGCAGGACTAGATTTCCTGTCCCAGGAACTTCTCTGGAGTTCTTTTCCCCTCCTTTGCTGGTACTTTGCTTATGTGGAGTGACCATTCAAAGTTAAAATGGCACTGAAAAAAGTGACTTATGACCATTTTTCACACTTACAACTGTTGCAGCATCCCCACAGTCATGAGAGGCCAGGTAAGGAGATGTGTGCCTCGATGTTAGTGATATTGAGTTGGCCATGCCCAGCCAAGCCATGCCCACCAACTAAGCCACGCCCACAGAACCGGTTGTTAAAAAATTTGAATCCCACCCGTGTCTAATTTATAGAATAACCATAGAGGACACCAAACTCAGACATCGGGAGTTTGGGAGACCTACAAAGGTAGGTAAATAGTGTAAAGAAAGTGGCAGGAACACATAGTTAAAACCTTCTTTTTTTTCTTTTTATTGGTATGTTATAAATCTTGATACATTGTGATGACCCAGAGTGTAACACAAACGTAACAAAATCCAAAACGTAAATAAATGTCCTTTAATGCCTTCAACTTGGCCCCTCTGTTCAATAATACTCAGTTGGAGATAAAACGTACTCAAAAATAGTCTTCAAAAGAAAGTAATACAGTCTGAATTTAATGAGCAGATAGAGGTGAAAATAAAAACCAAATAAACTACAATGATGAAATTTCCACAACGGAACAGGAGAAGTATTTACCAAATTCAAGGAGATAACAAGGCACAGTCTGTTGGAAGGTCGCCAACCAAGATAACCTCAAACCAAAATAAAACACACTTTGTCTCCAGCATTTGCCAGAACACAGTTCTCACACCTGCCGCCAATGAAGAGAATCAAGGCCCTCTCCTCTGAGTAGACCACGTCTCTCCCTTATCCTCTCCTCTATGCATGCCCTAGGATGGATAGGGGATGGGCCTGGGTCCTCCTCTAACTGCCCAGCCGGCCTCTGCCCTTCCCCAGCCTCCTCCACAACCTCCGGAGCCACACTTCCACTCCCTGTTGGCTGTTCCTCCTCTCCCTCAGAGTCAGTCTCCACCAGGGGCATGACATACATTGTATTATTTCAATTCAAATTTCAATGCAAGAATATTTGTATATTTCTATATTTGTGTGTGTGTGTTTGTGTGTGTCCTTCTTTATATTATTTTCAATTCTGAATGAAAAATTAAACAACTTTTTGCTTGTAATATTGACATCTGCTATTAATATTGACTGACATTTTACTTTTTCTTATTTTCAATATTTTAAGCTTTCTAAATAATGGAGTGTTCATAATTTATAATCGTGTGTGTGTGTGTGTGTGTGTGTGTGTGTGTGTGTGTGTGTGTGTG